TTTAATTAAGTTATTATAAGAAAAGAAAAGACACTTGAGGCTCCAAAGCACCATCAGATTTTTCCGAATAGGAATTTCTAGAACCTCAAGATTGTTTTAAATATTTCCAAAAACAACCGGGTCCCAAAATTAACTGAAAAATAATTTACAAAAAAAATCTCCATGGGCACCCAAAAAGAATACACCATGGGTATCCAAGAGCCTCTCGAATTAAAAAAATATAAATTTATATTAACTATATGTTTATACTTATTCGCAATATCCTTTACATCGCCACTGGCAATTCATAAAGCAAGTATTATTTTTAAGTACGGTGTTACTTGATTGAAACTTTTCCTGGAAGGTGAAAACGACGAAGAGGAGCAGTTGAGTGGCCAGCTAGGTCGCCCGATTTAACCCCACTTGACTTTCTTCTGTGGGGCTATGTAAACAATCGAGTTTATAGTAATAGACCACAAAGGAAGAAAGAATAATAAATGTGATTACTGATATTCCTCCTAATATTCTAACAGATTCATTTGAAAACTTTGTGCAACATACTGTTACGTTAGACGGGTGATTGAAATCGGTGTGGGTTAAACTCAACAATTTATTTGTTAATAACTCCATTTTTCCAGTTTACGATTTTTGAGTTTTCGATTGTTTCGATTTTTAGATCTTTCGAATTGTCACTTTTTCGTTTTTTCGATTTTTAGATGTTTCTAATTTTCACTTTTTTCAATTTTTCGATATTTGTAATTTTAAATATTTCCGATTTTTCCATTTTTATATTTTTCGATGTTTCGGTTATTCAATTTCACCATTTCTGGATTTCCCGCTTTTTCAGTTTCTCGATTTGTGCCATTTTTCAATAATGGTTTGATTTTTCAAATTTTAGATTTTTCAATTTTTGGATTTTAAATTTCTCGATTTAGCAATTAGTCGACTTTTCCATTTCTCAATTTTTCGATTTCTCAATGTTTCGACTTTTTAAATTTTTGACTTTTAGGATTGTCCGAAATTTCGATTTTTTAGATTTTCTATTTTTCGTTTCTTTGATTTATTTAATTTTTAATTTTTCGATTTTGCGATTGTTCGATTTTTCAATTTTTTTAATTTTTCATTTTCTTGGTCCTCGATTTTTCGGTTTTTCGCTGTTTCGATTTTTGGAATTCTGAATTATCAGTTTTTCGTTATTTTAGTTTTTAGATTTTTCGATTGCTTGATTTTCATTTTCATTGAGATTCTTTCTAATTCTTTCCGATTCTTGTTTTCATATTCCCTCAGATTCGCTTGGATTCCCTCAGATTCTTTCAGATGTTTTCAAGTTCTTTCCTTTTCTTTAAAATTCTGCCTTTCGGGTTCTTTGGAATGGTTTCAAATTGTTTCAAATTTTTTCAGATTCTCTCAAAGACACTGTCAGAAATCCTCACGATTCTTTCAAATTTTGGATTCTGTTCAGGTCGTTTTAAAATCGTGCAGATACTTTCAGATCCCTGCAAACTTTTCCAAATCTTCCAGATTTTTCTAGATTCTTCGAGATTCTCACAGGCTTCCTAGATTGCTTCAAATACTTTCCGTCTCGCAATTTCTCTCAAGTTCTCCCATATTCCTCCAGATTTTTCAAATGCTCTAAGATTTTTTCATTTTCCTTCTGATTCTCTCTTTCAGATTTTTTCGAACGTTTCAGATCCTTTCAGATCCCTGCAGATCCTTCCAAATTCTTCTCCATTCCTCCATTTTTTTTAGATTTTCTTGGATTTTTCTAAATTCTTCGAAATTCTTCAAAATTCTCCAGGATTTCCTAGGTTCCCTCAGATTCCTTCAGATTCTTTCAAATTTCTTCAGCTTCTATACGAATCTCTCAAATTCTCTTAGATTACCTCAGACTCTCTAGGGTTCTCTCGATTTTAATAATAGCAATAATAATATATGTACTATGCAAATTCAGACCCATTTTCGACAATTTTCGAAATTTTACTAAATACATGTTCTCGTAGATTTCGCGCTGCAGAAGTCACTTTGGGCCTCATTTCTTCGAAAACTCCAACCGTTTTTCCGGAATCGGCCATTGAAATATCGCAATTTTTAAAAATTTCAAAAATTCGAATTTCACACCGAACATTTCGAAAATATTGCTCCGTTACCGCAAACACGCTATATTTTTGAAATCAGCACAAATGAATTTTTTGAGAATTTTTAGACGACTTTTTCAAAAATGAAATTTTCTATTATGTATAGATATTTTTTTGCATATATTAATAATAATAATAATAATAATAATAATAATAATTTTATTTCCAGCAAACTACAAGTCTATAATGGAATATAATACTGATAAACAACGAATTATTGAAAACTAATTCTAATTTTAAATAACAATAAATGTGGAAATGTGATGAGGAAATAGAAAAAATAAAATGAAAATAAATAAGAGGGATACATCAAAAATTCTTACATAAATGTAGAAATTTAGTTTTTAACTTAGCAAAATTGAAATTATCATAAAATACCGGGTGTCTGGAAAAGGCAGATTAACTCTTCAATATGTTATGTACGGGGATTTCGGGAATCCCAAAAAATATATAATTAAAAACATCTTTGCCTTGTTCATATAAGTAAATTCGTAATGTTTCCAAATTTTGATCACTTCTCTAAAAGTTAATTATCATTACTTGCTAAGATAAAACTGATTTTGGCAAATCACAAACTTTATAAGAAAAGAGAGGGTGAGTGGGCGGGACTAGTCCTGCTAAAATAAGAGCAATTTTGGCAAATAACACACCCTCTAAGAAAATAAAGATCGGGCGGCTGGGGCTAGTACCTGGTAAGATAAGGCTGATTTTAGCAAATGACATATCCTCGAAGAAATTTAAGTAAATTATTATAAGAAAACACACTAGAGGCTCCAAAGCACCATCAGATTTTTCCAAACAGAAATATCTAGAACCTCAAGATTGTTTTAAATATTTCCAAAAAAAACGGGATCCCAAAATTAACTGAAAAATAATTTACAAAAAAAATCTCCATGAGCTTCCAAAAGAATATACCATGGGTATCCAAGAGTCTCTCGAATTAAAAAAATATAAATTTATATTAACTATATGTTTATACTTATTCACATTATCCTGTGCGATTGAGTTGTCGTTGTCACCCCTTGGTGTTTGGTACCCGGGGCGGACCGCCCTACTACCACCCCTCTTTACATCGCCACTGGCAATTCATAAACCAAGTATTATTTTTAAGTACGGTGTTACTTGATTGAACTTTTTCCTGGAAGGTGAAAACGACGAAGAGGAGCAGTTGAGTGGCCAGCTAGGTCGCCCGATTTAACCCCACTTGACTTTCTTCTGTGGGGCTATGTAAACAATCGAGTTTATAGTAATAGACCACAAAGCAAGAAAAAATAATAAATGTGATTGCTGATATTCCTCCTAATATTCTAACAGATTCATTTGAAAACTTTGTGCAACATACTGTTACGTTAGACGGGTGATTGAAATCGGCGTGGGTTAAACTCAACAATTTATTTGTTAATAACTGCATTTTTTCAGTTTACGATTTTTGAGTTTTCGATTGTTTCGATTTTTAGATCTTTCGAATTGACACTTTTTCGTTTTTTAGATATTTCTAATTTACACTTTTTTCAATTTTTCGATATTTGTAACTTTAAATTTTTCCGATTTTTCCATTTTTATATTTTTCGATGTCTCGGTTATTCAATTTCTCCATTTCTGGATTTCCCGTTTTTTTAGTTTCTCGATTTCTGCCATTTTTCAATAATTTTTTGATTTTTCATATTTTAGATTTTTCAGTTTTTGGATTTTTAAATTTCTTGATTTAGCAATTAGTCGACTTTTCCATTTCTCAATTTTTCGATTTCTCGATGTTTCGATTTTTTATATTTTTGACTTTTAGGATTGTCCGAAATCTCGATGATTTTTTAGATTTTTTATTTTTCGTTTCTTTGATTTTTTTAATTCTTAATTTTTCGATTTTGCCATTGTTCGATTTTTCAATTTTTCGAATATTTCATTTTCTTGGTCCTCGATTTTTCGGTTTTTCGCTGTTTCGATTTTTGGAATTCTCAATTATCAGGTTTTCGGTATTTTAAGTTTTAGATTTTTCGATTGCTTGATTTTCATTTTCATTGAGATTCTTACTAATTCTTTCCGATTCTTGGTTGCATATTCCATCAGATTTGCTTGGATTCCCTCAGATTTTTTCAGATGTTTTCAAGTTCTTTCCTTTTTTTTAAGATTCTGCTTTTCGGATTCTTCGGGATGGTTCCAAATTGTTTCAAATTTTTTCAGATTCTTTCATTTTCCTTCTGATCCTCTCTTTCGAATTTTTTCAATCGTTTCAGATCCTTTCAGATCCCTGCAGATTCTTCCAAATTTTTTCAGAATTTTTAGACGACTTTTTCAAAAATGAAATTTTCCACTATGCAAATTCCGACCCATTTTCGACAATTTTCGAAATTTAACTTATAGAGTTCGGGATGCAGAAGTCACTTCCGGCCTTATTTGAAATATTCCAATTTTTTTAAATTTCAAAAAATTCGAATTTTACACCGACTTTTTCGAAAATATTGCTCCTTGATATTTTTGTAATCAACACCCCAAAATCTATAATCCTGAATTTTTTGACAATTTTTAAACAACTTTTTCAAAAATGAAATTTTCCACATTTTTTTTTGTATATACTTTTAGGTATAGAGGTTATAATGTAGTAGATCTATGTAGCAAAATTTGTGTGTTTATTTTACGTTTCAAAAACACCTGTATACAATCCGGCAACAATTATATCAATTTCGATAATCACAAATAATTCCTCGCACAAACTCCGCCCCATCTATGATGCACTTCCCGAAAATAATTTAATTATCACTTGCATTAGGTGCCCACATTAAATTTAACGCGCCGGTAAACAGCATGTGACACGTTAGACAGAATCCCATATTTACCTTAATTTTTTCCGGTTCTGGCCTTGAGCGTTTACGTCAATTTCTCTTTTTGCAGGTGATCTGCTGGAAAATTACTGCTGGACCGACGACTTGATGAACCTGAGTCGGCTGCTGTTCAGCGTGCAGATTCTTCTGACTTACCCCATCGAATGCTTCGTCACTCGCGAGGTCATCACCAACTCGTTGCTCCGAAAAGACCCCAACGTGCCGATTTCTGAACGAACGCACTATCTGATTACGTTAGCCATCGTTGGCACCACGTACTTCATTTCGATATCCACTGACTGTTTGGGGGTGGTTCTCGAACTGAACGTAAGTAGCTTGGTGACTGGTAGAACACGAAAAAGTAGGCCCTCCGTTTCCGTCTGTTTTGTTTATTTGAAGAAAGTCGTGTGGAAGCTGAGATTTATTATTATATTAGTTATTTATGTACAATCTATGAAACCGACTGCCTTGAAATTTTGCACACGCTTTAAGGTTACTGTGAAAATGGTAAATCGTTGTCAGAATAATAGTTTATTCCACTCAGCGAGCGTCTTACAAGAAATTAATTAATATAAAACAAACGTACAACGGTAAAATATACGAAACCAAGGAAAACATTGAGATTGGAAAAATGTGAGTAGCTTCCGCGTAAGCTTGTTAAAGTAAAGAAAAGTGAATTCTCAAAGAGATACTAAGTATATGTAAAAGCAAATTTTACAAGTTTTGTAAGTTCATTTACTATATTGTCTGGTCCTCGAGGTTTATTATGATCAATGTGCGCTATTACCGCGCTAAATTCTGCTTCAGTTACTAATTCTTGTCCTATTTCTTCCTCGAATAACGAATTTCTCACTTTTTCTTCCTCATTTGCATGAAGTTTTCTTGGATTAGACAGTTTTTATAGTGTTTTCCGTTCCTATTTATTTATTTTTGCTATTGTCTATGTTTTTTGTTTTTTATTTACAGGTCTCTATAGCTTTACATTGTTCTTACTATCTTCTTCCAACTCCTTCATTATTTACAATCCACTTTATCTCCTCCTGTTTCACTAATTTTATACTATTCTTTCTGTTTTCTGGAATGCTCTGCAACCTTTTTCTGTTACTGTCCTTAAAAATCTAATCCTTACAATCTTCCTTTTCTTATTATCTCATGCATTGATTATCGAACTATCCATTGTTTTTCTCTTTTCCTACTGTGTCCGGTACTTTCCCTGTTGTATTTTCTATTACTCTCCAGTTCTTCATCTATTGTTCCACTTATGCATTTCGTTAGTTCTTTGTATATTTGATTTTTGTCTAGCGACTCTGCATTTATCAACTTCCGAATTTTCCGATATATAATTATTTATCTCTAACAATTTTTCGACTTTTCTAGTTTCAATTTCTAAGTTTTTCAAGTTTTAGATTTTTAAATGTTTAGCTCTTTCTACTTTTCAAGGTTCCAATTTAAAATTTTAAAATTTTTCAATATTTCGACATTTTACTTTTTCATTTTTGCTTTTCAATTTTCCTATCATTTCAACACAACAAATTTTCGGTTTTTCAATTTTTCTTTTCTTCTCATTTATCAATGTTTTGCTTCCTCCATTTTTTGATTTGTAATTTTCTGAATCTGGAAATTTGGAAATCCGGAAGTTTGGAAATTCCGAGATTTGAAAATATGTGAATTTGAGAATTTGAAAATTTGAGAATTTGAGAATTTTGAAATTTTGGAATTTTCGAAGTTTGGAATTTTGGAATTTTCGAATTTCGCAATTTTGGAATTTTGATATTTTGGAATTTTGAAATTTTGAAATTTTGAAATTTTGAAATTTTGAAATTTTGAAATTTTGAAATTTTGAAATTTTGAAATTTTGAAATTTTGAAATTTTGAAATTTTGAAATTTTGAAATTTTGAAATTTTGAAATTTTGAAATTTTGAAATTTTGAAATTTTGAAATTTTGAAATTTTGAAATTTTGAAATTTTGAAATTTTGAAATTTTGAAATTTTGAAATTTTGAAATTTTGAAATTTTGAAATTTTGAAATTTTGACATTTTGGAAGTTTGTAAAGTTTCAGCCCGTTCGGCGATATTTCAATTATCTGCTTTTTCTACTTTCCGAATTATCAATTTAGTTTTTAATTTTTTTAATTTTTCTACATTTTAATTTTTAATCTTTCATCATTTCAATAAAATCAATTTTTCAATTTTTCTTTTTTTTCAGTTTTCAATTTTTAGCTTTTTCCATTTTTCGATTTGCAATTTTTTCTTTTTTTAAATTTGATATATGTATTTATCAGAATTTTGTTCAAGTCTTAGATTTTTTGATATTTCGATTTTCCAATTACACGATTTTTAATTTTTCGAAAATTTTTCAATTTTAAATGTTTTAAAATAATTTTTAGACATTTCGACATTTGAATTTTTAAATTTTGGATTTCAAAATTTTTCGTGTTTTTAATTTTTTAATCTTTCCAATTTCAATTTTTCTAGTTTTTATTTTTTAGTTTTAGATGCTTACAAATTTTTTGATCTGCTGGTTTTTTCGATTTCTTTTTTCAGTTTTTCAAATTACATAGATTGTTTACATTTTGACGATTAGAAATTTGCAAATTTGGAAGTTTGGAAATTTGGAAATTGGGAAATTCGGAAACCTGGACATTCTGGAATCTGGAAAATCGGAAATTTGAAAATTTGGAAATTTAGAAACTTGGAAATTTGGAAATACGGAAATTTGAAAATTTAAAAATTCGGAAATTTAGAAATTTGGAAATTAGAAATTTCGAAACAACGGGCTCGATAAACAAATAATAATTGGCGGTTATATAAAAAATGTTCTAATTAAATGGGCAAACAGTCACTTTTAGCACGTTAAGCGACTTTTCAATTTTTAGCTTTTTCTACATGTCAAGTCTACAATTTTGAATTTTTTAATTTTTTCGATTTCGACTTTTTCGAATCAATTTTCCATTTTTGGATTTTTCAGTTTTAGCTTTTTTCAAATTTTTAATTTTTTATTATTTCATTGTTTCAGTTGTGCCATTCTTTGCTTTTTCAACCTTTCGATTTTTTTCAAATTTTTTTCAGTTCTTCATTTCCTCAACGTTTTCATTTTGAAATTTCGAGATTTAATAATTTAGTAATTTAGAAATTTGAAAATTTGGAAATTTGGAAATTGGGAAATTAGCAAAGTTTGAATCTTAGAAATCTAGAAATCTGGAAATCTGGAAAATTTTAAATTTACTAACAACGGCCTCAATAAACGAATAATTGACGGTTATAGAAAAAAAGTTCTAAATAAATGGGCAAAGATTTACTTTTAACATGTTAAGCGATTTTTCTTTTTTTTCTGTCATTTCAATATGACAAAATTTTCGATTTCTCAGTATTGCTTTTTTTTTATTTTTCAATTTTTAACTTTTTAAAATTCTCATCTCAATGTTTCTGTTTTTCCATTTTCCATTTTTCGATTCGCAATTTTTCCATTTTTTTCAATTTTCCGTTTTATCAATTTTATCGATTTTGAAGGTTCGGAACTTTCAAATGTTCGTTTATTCAATTTTTCGACTTTCCCGATTCAATTTTTCCATTTTTGGATTCATTCTGTCGATTTTTTTAAATTCGTTTTTGCAGTTTTTGAATATCTCAATGATTATATTTTAATATTTAGGAATTGAAAAATTTGGATATTTGGAAATTTTCAGCTTACCCTAATTTTCGAGTTTTCAATTTTAATTTTTCTAATTTTTCAATTAATCGACATTTGAATGTTTAAATTTTTAAGTTTTCGATTTTTCAGTTCTTCGTTTCTTCTTTTCCAGACTTTTTAATTTTTCGTTTTTTCAACTTTAAATTTATTTTTTTTCCGTCACATTAATAAAAGAAAATTTTCGATTTTTCTATTTTCGAACTTTGGACATTTGGATTATTTTGGAAATTTGGACATTTGGAAACTTTGAAACTTGGAAATTTGTATATTTTTAGCTTTTCCTACTTTTCGAGGTCTCAATTTTCAGCTTGCACTATTTTTCGAGTTTTCAATTTTAGTTTTCTTTAATTTTGTAAATAATTTATCGAGATTCGAATATTTTAATTTTTAATTTTTCAGTTTTTCAGTTTTTCGTTTCTCCAAATTTCCGACTCTACAATTTTAATTTTTAGATTTTTCAACTTTTAAATTTAAATTTTTTTCATTTCATTAAAACAAAATTTTCGATATTTCTATTTTAGTAATTTGGAAATTTGGAAATTTGGAAACTTGGAAATTTGGAAATTTGGAAATTTAGAAATTTTGAAGCTTTGAAACTTGGAAATTTAGAAATTCAAAATGATTAGCCTCTCCCACTTTTGGAGTTCTCAACTTGTTTCGATTTTTCAATTCTTCGTTTCTTCAATTTTCGAATTTTTAATTTTCACTTTTCGATTTTTCAACTTTTAATTTTTCTGTCACTTGAATAAAACAAAATTTTCGATTTTTCTATTTTGGAAATTTGGAAATTTGAAAATTTGGAAACTGAAGCTTGGAAATTTGAAAGTTTGGAAATCTTCAGCTTTTCCTACTTTTCGAATTCTCAATTTTAATTATTTTAATTTGCAAATTGAAGCTTTGAAACTAGGAAATTTTTGGAAATTTGGAATTTTTTTCTTTTCCTACTTTTGAATTTCACAACTTTTAATTTTTAAAATTTTTCAATTAATCTACATTTGAATATTTTAATTTAAATTTTGTAGATTTTTCAATTCTTCATTTCTTCAATTTTCGGACTTTTTAATTTTAACTTTTCGATTTTTCAACCTTTAATTTTTAAATTTTGCTGTCACTTCAATAAAACAAAATTTTCGATTTTTCTATTTTGAAAATTTGGAAATTTGAATATTTGGAAACTGAAACTTGGACTTTGAAAATTTGGAAATCTTTAGCTTTTCCTACTTTTCGAGTCCTCAATTTTAATTATTTTAATTTTTCAATTAATCGACATTTGAATATTTTAATTTTTAATTTTTCAATTTTTGAGTCTTCGTTTCTTCAAATTTCTGACGCTCTAATTTTAAATTTGCGATTTTTCAACTTTTCAACTTTTCAATTTAAATTTTTTCTGTCATTTCAATAAAACTAAATTTTCGATTTTTCTATTTCGGAAATTTGAAAATTTCGTAATTTGGAAATTTGCAAATTGAAACTTTGAAACTTGGAAATTTTTGGAAATTTAAAAATTTTTAGCCTTTCCTACTTTTGGAGTTCTCAACTCTCAATTCTTCATTTCTTCAATTTTCGCACTTTTTAATTTTAACTTTCCGACTTTTCAACCTTTAATTTTTAAATTTTTCTGTCACTTCAATAAAACAAAATATTCGATTTTTCTATTTCGAAAATTTCAAAATCTTGAAATTTGAAAATTTGGAAACTGAAACTTGGAACTTTGAAAATTTGGAAATCTTTAGCTTTCCCTACTTTTCGAGTTCTCAATTTTAATTATTTTAATGTTTCAATTAATCGACATTTGAATATTTTAATTTTTAATTCTTCAATTTTTCATTTCTTCAATTTTCGGACTTTTTAATTTTAACTTTTCGATTTTTCAACCTTTAATTTTTAAATTTTGCTGTCACTTCAATAAAACAAAATTTTCGATTTTTCTATTTTGAAAATTTTCGATTTTGCTATTTTGAAAATTTGAAAATTTGTAAATTTGGAAATTTGAAAATTTGGAAACAGAAACTTGGAAATTCGAAAATATGGAAATCTTTAGTTTTTCTTACTTTTCGAGTGCTCAATTATAATTATTTTAATTTTTCAAATAATCGACATTTGTATATTTTAATTTTTAATTTTTCAATTTTTCAGTCTTCGTTTCTTCAAATTTCGGACGCTCTAATTTTAAATTTTCGATTTTTCAACTTTTCAATTTAAATTTTTTCTGTCATTTCAATAAAACACAATTTTCGATTTTTTTTTCTATTTCGGAAATTTGGAAATTTGGTAATTTGGAAATTTGCAAATTAAAACTTTGAAACTTGGAAATTTTTGGAAATTTAAAAATTTTAAGCCTTTCCTACTTTTGAAGTTCTCAACTCTCAATTCTTCATTTCTTCAATTTTCGCACTTTTTAATTTTAACTTTCCGATTTTTCAACCTTTAATTTTTAAATTTTGCTGTCACTTCAATAAAACAAATTTTTTGAATTTTCTATTTTGAAAATTTGAAAATTTGGAAATTTGAAAATTTGGAAACTGAAACTTGGAACTTTGAAAATTTGGAAATCTTTAGCTTTTCCTACTTTTCGAGTTCTCAATTTTAATAATTTAAATGTTTCAATTAATCGACATTTGAATATTTTAATTTTTAATTTTTCAATTTTTCAGTCTTTTTTAAATTTTAATTTTTTCTGTTATTTCAATACAAGAAAATGTTCGATTTTTCTATTCCGGAAATTAGGAAATTTGGTAATTTGGAAATATGGAAATTGAAACTTTGAAACTGGGAAATTTGGAAATGTTTAGCTTTTTCTATTTTTGGAATTCTCACCTTTTAGCTTGCCATACTTTTTGAATTTCCGATTTTAATTCTTAAATTTTTCATTAATCGACATTTGAATATTTGAATTTTTATTTTTTCGATACGAAATTTTAGATTTTTCTGTTTTGCAAAATTTGAAAATTTGGAAGTTTGGAAATTTGAAAATCTTTAACTTTTCCTGCTTTTCGAGTACTCAGTTTTTAGCTTGCTCTACTTTTCGAGTTTTCAATTTTAATTATTTTAATTTTTCAATTAGTCGACATTTGAATATTTTAACTTTTAATTTTTGATTTTTCAGTGCTTCGTTTTTTCAAATTTCTGACTTTCCAGTTTTAAATTTTCGATTTTTCAACTTTTCAATTTAAATTTTTTCTGTCATTTCAATAAAACACAATTTTCGATTTTTTTTTTCTATTTCGGAAATTTGGAAATTTGGTAATTTGGAAATTTGCAAATCGAAACTTTGAAACTTGGAAATTTTTGGAAATTTAAAAATTTTTAGCCGTTCCTACTTTTGAAGTTCTCAACTCTCAATTCTTCATTTCTTCAATTTTCGCACTTTTTAATTTTAACTTTCCGACTTTTCAACCTTTAATTTTTTAAATTAATCACTTCAATAAAACAAAATTTTCGATTTTTCTATTTTGAAAATTTGAAAATTTGGAAATTTGAAAATTTGGAAACTGAAACTTGGAACTTTGAAAATTTGGAAATCTTTAGTTTTTCTTACTTTTCGAGTGCTCAATTATAATTATTTTAATTTTTCAAATAATCGACATTTGTATATTTTAGTTTTTAATTTTTCAATTTTTCAATTCTTCATTTCTTCAATTTTCGGACTTTTTAATTTTAACTTTTTGATTTTTCAACCTTTAATTTTTAAATTTTGCTGTCACTTCAATAAAACAAAATTTTCGATTTTTCTATTTTGAAAATTTAGAAATTTGGAAATTTGAATATTTTGAAACTGAAACTTGGAACTTTGAAAATTTGGAAATCTTTAGCTTTTCCTACTTTCCGAGTTCTCAATTTTAATTATTTTAATGTTTCAATTAATCGACATTTGAATATTTTTATTTTTAATTTTTCAATTTTTCAGTCTTCGTTTCGTCAAATTTCCGACTCTCTGATTTTAATTTTTCGATTTTTCAACTTTTAAATTTAATTTTTTTCTGTTATTTCAATACAAGAAAATTTTCGATTTTTCTATTCCGAAAATTTGGAAATTTGATAATTTGGAAATATGGAAATTGAAACTTTGAAACTGGGAAATTTGGAAATTTGGAAATTTTTAGCTTTTCCAATTTTTGGAATTCTCAACTTTTAGCTTGCCATATTTTCGAATTTCCGATTTTAATTTTTTAATTTTTCATTAATCGACATTTGAATATTTGAATTTTTATTTTTTCGATTTTTCGCTTCTTCATTTCTTCAATTTTTCTGTCATTTCAATAAAACGAAATTTTCGATTTTTCTGTTTTGCAAAATTTGAAAATTTGGAAGTTTGGAAATTTGAAAATCTTTAACGTTTCCTACTTTTCGAGTTTTCAATTTTAATTATTTTAATTTTTCAATTAATCCACATTTGAACATTTTAATTTTTAATTTTTGATTTTTCGGTGCTTCGTTTTTTCAAATTTCCGACTTTCTAATTTTAATTTTTCGATTTTTCAACTTTAATTGTTTAAATCTTTCTGTCATTTCAATAAGATAAAACTTCGAAATTTTCTGTTTTGGAAATTTGAGAAATTGGAAATTCGGGAATCTCGAAATTTACAAATTTGATAACAGCTACAATATTACCGGTAAAATATGCATAATAAAAAGCTTCTCTTAAACATATTTATTAGCTTAAATATGTACAAAATTGACCACCAATTACTACTAAAAACTTTTTCATTTGCAGCAATTACAAGTTGTTTATTTATGTCATCAATCTAAGATGATTTATTTTTTACCATCCCTGTGTGTAAAAAAAAGCTACATTCTACGCTAAATTCGACCATTGTTGAGTACTTTAATTTTCAAAAATCATCAAAATTTTGACTTTTTTGAGACAAACGGAACCAAAACTTCTGATCTTTTTCACAGTTTGTTTTTATTACCAGAGTTAAAATTTGCCCTTAGAAACCAAAATTTTGGAAAACGCAGATTTTGAGTTCGCTTTTGTGTTTTTAAGAGAGATTTGCAGAGCTACAAATAGCCGTTTTCCTTCTTGATATTTTAAAATTAGCTACATTGTTTAATCGTAATCTTGTTGTTGATTTATTATGTTTACACTAGAATAAATTAAGTAGATACTATAATCCACCTCGTTCAGTATTTAATCTCCACTTAACCAAACACTAAAATATTTTCTCAAAATTATTCCATTTACCGAGTCGGTAAATCGATTTATATGCAAATTAAACCAGTCCTCAAATTTTTTAAATGTTTATTTGACATCGCTTTTTGTGATCAAAAACTATGTGCACATCAAACTCAGCGTCACGGTTTCAAATATTTCTAGAGTATCTAAAACATCTAGAAAACTCAGTTGTTAACCATTTTAACCAAATAAAAAATAAACAAAAAACTCGGCTTGGTTTTTCCAGTCACCATGTAACCATTTCAACGTAACGTTTCTTTTTTAAAGTAAACAAGACTTCTGGAGTTCAATAACAGTCACACGACTTTTATTCTCCGGAGGTCCGCGTTAAATGCATTCGTCATTATTATAAACATTTTTTCTCGTTTGAGGTTATTCGTATGTTTTGAGCTTTGAAAATCAGGTCAAGTAAAAGAGAGTCATTCTTGATTAATTTATTACTCTGAGTACTCGAACCAACACAGATATGTACATGTGTCGATTTTTTTCGTCCCGCAGGGTGTCCTGGCAGCCGTGCCTTTGGCCTACGTCCTGCCAGCCCTTAGTTACCTTCAGCTGGAAGAAGGTCACGTCTTGTCCTCCCGCAAACTTCCAGCCCTCTGCGTGGTCCTCCTAGGACTCACCGTCGCCATTCTGGGCGCGGTTTTCCTGATTGTCGATTTCCAGGAAGTCGACACCTGCTACCACGGGATCATGGAATACTGCCCCAATGCGACGGACTCCTCGGTCACTTTTTAATCGAGGGTGATAGAGCACGGGGTACGCCCCTAAAATAATCAAAATCTATGTAATTACGCAATCAAATATTAAAAAAAGAGAGCTTAAACTGTATAAATGATATTATTTTTCACGATGAAAAAGTTTAATAACTATTGTTGCCAAATATTTTGTGATCTTGCTCTATATATTATATAGTTATGCGATAGCTGTATTGTGAAAACGAACTAGTAAATAAAGTCAGCCATATTTATTTACTAAGATATACGAAAGTTGAGGTTTCTAGATATATTATAATAACATAGTTCGGAGTGTGCCAATTTGTGGAAGAGCGGAATTTCTTGCAATCGTGACGCGATTGGGGGAAATTTCGCCGACTTTTACCGACTGATCTCGAAAGGCGGCTGCGCCATCTTTGATTCATTTCTCTCATGTTTTAATGCACGGATTTTGCCAGTTTTTCGACTTCAGCTGCACAATGTGATGTGTTTTCTGTGAAATGTAGATAAAGATATGAATAAATGTTATATATTTCATTATAACTGGGTGTTATTGGCACCGAATGGTGTGATTAAGTACGACTTGTCATCTCTTTAATTAAGTATAATAATAATCACTGATGCAAATGAGCTTTTAAGTGATAACATTATCTAAATAGAGTCTCAAAGTCACCTCCACTAAGTACAGCGACCACATAACAAATCCTAGTTGAGTTTTTGTGGGATAATGTTTAATAAATTGCACGAATTGGGACGTTTTTATTGCGGCTTTTGGCATCAAAGTGCATTTATTAAAAATAATCGCACTTTAATCTTTTTATCTACCGAATCTACAAACATCAGCAAATTAAAAGTTCCAGACCAGTAAAACTAAAGAATATAACAATTACGGTGGCCAGTTCCAAAAATTCCATTAAACAGAATGTTGAGAAAGCGAATTCTGTTAACATGTGCAATGGAAATTACGCCGTGAACAATTTCTAAGAATTTGAAAGGCGGCTAAGATGCAATTCCAGTTTAAATTAGTTCCAAAATAATTACCACAAATTCTGCGAACAGTGATTCCAAAATAAATTTCTTAATTCTGCACAAATTAATTCGCTGATTTTTTTCAAGGACTGTAGTGAAATGAAAAAACTATAATAACGTTTTCGAAGGATCTCAAAACAATTTCTTCAAATTTTAAAAAGTTGCGGTGGTACCAGTACACGCACAGTGACTACGAAATAAATTAATTCCACTCAAGCATTGATAATTAAGATACTAAAATTATTGAAGTGTATTATGAGAGTTTCTCCAATATTTCATAAATTTTTTGTTTCTTCAATTTTTCGATTTGCCATTTTTCGGTTTTACAGTTCATCGATTTCAATTTTGCAAATTTTCTATTTCACAGTTATCCCATTTTTCATGTTATCAATACTTTTGCTCGATTTTTAATTTTACGATTTTTCCGATTTTTAGTTCTCCATTTTTAATGCTTCAATTTTTCGTTTCTTCAATTTCTTAAGGTGTAACTTTTCGATTTTAGAATTTTTCGAATTGAATTTTTCAGCTTTACAGTTTTGGATTAGATTTTTTGTTTCTGGATATTTTAATTTTTCGTTTTTTTGTTCTATTATTTTTTAATATTTCGAGTTTTCAACTAGGTACTCCATTTAAAATTTTCCGAATTTTCAATTTTTCGTTTCTTCAACTTTTTGCCAATGCAATTTTTCGATTTCTCAATTTTTCCATTTTCATATTTTTCAATATTTAGCTTTTCCGTTTTTCGTTTTTCTCGACTTTTCCAATTTCAATTTTATGTTTTCCAAATTTTTTGTAATCTTGTAACACCATATCTTTTGTTTTTACAAATTCAAATATATCAGTATTTTTGTTTCTATAAGGACGTTTGTCCATAGAAAAATGTACTATTATTATTATTATTTAGCTTTTTCATTTTTCGATTCTTTAGTTTTTCGATTTACAATTTTTCCATATATAATTTTTAGATATTTTTAATTTTTTCAATTCTTCGATTTTTAAATTTTTAGTTGTTTCCATGTTTTAACTTTTTATCTTTAAATTTTTCAATTTTCAATTTTCCGAAAGTGCAACTTTTCAATTTTACACTTTTTTGATTTCAGTTTTTCGAATTTTCAATATTCCGTTTCTTCAATTTTTCGACTTTTCCGATACAATTTTTTTATTTTTCTATTTCCCCAACCTAAATTTTTAGATTTTTTCAATGTTTCTATCATTTCAATGGGAAGCAATTTTCAATGTTTCTTTTCTTTTTCGATTTCTTAATTTTTCGGTTTCTAATTTTTAAATTTGTAACTTAATTTATAATTTTCGTTTTTTCAAATTTTAACTTTTTCTATTTTTCCATTTTCCATTTTAAAATTCTAATTTTTCCATTTTCCGACATTCAATTTTTCAGTAGATTTTTCGATGTTTTAATTTTTTGTATCTCAGTATTCCAATTTTTCTAATTTCAAATTTTCTAGCATTTAAATAAAAAAAATTTTAGATATTTCAATTTTTCTTTTTTACTGATTTCTCAATTTTTAGCTTTTTCCTTTTTTCATTTGCGAGTCTTATATTTTTTAATTTTTCGATATCTATTGTTTTTTTTTTAATTTTTCGGTTTTTCTATTTATTTGTTTTTTTTTACATTTTTCAGATCTAAAGTTTTCCGTTTTTTTTGGGCTTTTCGCTTTTAAATTTTTAAATCATTCGACATTTGTATTTTTTTGTTATTCGTATCCCCAACCACAATTTCTCGATTTTTCAGTTTTTCAATTTTTTCATCACTTGCAAGTTTTCGATACAAAATTTTTAATTTTATCGATATTTCAACTTTACAATTTTTGTAAATTTTAGATTTTTCCAATTTTCGATTTTTAATTTTTCAATTTTTTAGTGTTTCAGTGTTACCATTTGTGTTCCTTCAATTTTCCGGTTTTTCCAATTTGTGGGTTTTTTCCATATTTCGACTTCTCCATTTTTTGATTATTTATTTTATTTTTTTTTATTTTTCAATCACGAATTTTTCGTTGTTTCGATTTTTCAAATTCTCGATGTTTAAATTTTTAGATTTTTCTATTTTACAATCTTGCAATTTTAAATTTTACAATTTTACGATTTTTCTATTTTAAATGTATCAATATTTCATTCATTTTTCAATTTCTCCGCTTTATCAGTTTTTCGAATTTTCAATTTTTCTATTTTAACTTTTCGATTTTTGATATTTTGATTTTTCATTTCTCCGAAGTTTCAAATTTTCGATTTTTCATTTAATCGATTTTAAATTTTTTGAACTTCCAATTGTTCGTTCCGCCGATTCATTTTTACGATTTTGGAAATTTTCCATGTTTCAGTTTTTGATTTCCCATTTCTTGATTTTTGAATTTTTAAAAGTTTCACTTTTCAGTTCTACAAATTTTGGAAATCTCAATAATCCGATCACTGAATTTTCAGATTTTTAGTTTTTCAAATTCAATTTTTCGTTTCTTCAGTTTTTCAATTTAAAATTTTTCGATTTTAGTGTTTCTATTTCACAATTTTTGGATTTCAATTTTTGCAGGTTTTTTTCGATTCTTTAGTTACTCGATTTTAAATTTTTCGATTTTTCGACATTTGGATTTTTAATTTTGCGATTTCTGAATATTTAAAATTTTCTTTCTTTCAATAAAAAAAAACAATTTTTCCCGTTTTTGATTTTCCTATTTTTTGCTTTTCTCTTGTTCGATTTTGCAATTTTCCAATTTTTAGATTCTACTGTCTTTCGAGTTTTCAATGTTCAATTTTTTTTTATTTTTTGATTATTCTAATTTTTTGGTTTTAGATTCTCAATTTTCAATTTTTCGATATTTTAGATTTTTGTTCTTAAATTTTTCCCCAATTTCAATTTTCTCGCTTTTTCATTTTACAATTTTCCTTTTTCTCACTTAGATTTTGCAAATTTTCGGTATTTTTATTATCTAATTTTCTTGTAAGATGTATTTCCACTTTTTAATTTTTACATTTTCGATTGTTTTAATTATTACATATGAAATTTTCCATTGCTCTGATTTTACAATTTCACGATTTTTGAATTTTTAAATTTTTCAGTTTTACAATTTTTCGATTTCTTGTACCAACTGTTTCAATTTTTTTAATCTCCAATTTCTTGGTTTTTCATTTTTAATTTTTTGATTTTTCAATGTTTCGATTTTTTTCAATTTTAACGTTTTCCATTTTTCGAGATTTCAAATTTAAATTTCTCAATTATTCGACATTTGACTGTTTTTATCATCAATTGTTTTATTTTTAGTTCCTCGATTTTTAATTTTTCGATTTTTCGATATCATTTTCGAGTTTCCGTTTTTATTTTTTTTTACAATTTTGCAATGTGTGGATTTTTCCATTTTCGACTTTTAATTTTTCTTTTCGGTGTTCCGGTTTTTCCAGTTTGTCATGTTTTCCCTTTTTCATCTTCTCTATTTTACGATTTTTCTATTTTGAATTTTTTTACTTTTCAATCATGAAATTTTTCCTTGTTTCGATTCTACTGTTTTTCAATATTTGATTCTTAGTTCCTTTATTTAAAAAAACTAAAATTTTTCAGATTCGCAATTCTTTGATTTTACAATTTTCCGATTTTTTGGTTCGAATTTTTCAATTTTTCTGTTTTCAATAACAAAATCAGTTTTTCCCGTTTTTGATTTTTCAGTTTTGTGTTTTTTTATTTTTCGATTTTTAATTTCTCGTTTAACTAATTTTCCATTTTCCATTGTTTAGATACTTACTTATTTCCGTTTTTTCAATTCTTCAATTTTTAGCTTCTTATATCTTTCAAGTTTTCAATTTTTGGCTTTCTCAGTTTTTCGGTTTTTCAATTTTTCGATTTTTCGGTTTTTCGTTTCTTAAATTTATCGAATTCCCAATTTCAATTGTCCGATTTTCCAATTTAAAAAGTTTCCATTTTTTGATTTTCCGTTTTCTCGATTCTTGATTTTTTTATTTTTCGTTTTCTCAAATTTAAGATTTTGCAGTTTTTTCGATATTTTTAATTTCTTAATTTATTTAATATTTTGATTTTTCTATTTTTACATTTTTCGGTTTTTTCAATCACATATGAATTTTTTGATATTTCTCGATTTTTGAGTTTTTAGACTTTTCAATTTCTCATTTATCCATTTTTTTAATTTTTCGAATCTCCAATTTCTCGCTTTTTCATTTTTTATGTTTCGATTTTTCTATTTCTCAATTTTTTTCAATTTTTACGTTTTCCATTTTTCGAGTTTTCAATTCTAAATTTTGTCGATAATTTGTCATTTGAATGTTTTTGTCCTATTTCCAGTTCCAATTTTTTCAATTTTCAGTTTTTTAATTTTTCCATCATTTTCAAGTTTCCGATTTTATTTTTTTTTTAAGATTTTGCAATGTATGGAAATTTCAGTTTTAAGTACAATTTTTGTAGTTTTTAGATTTTTCCAATTTTCAATTTTGATTTTTCAGTTTTTCGGTGTTTCAGTGTCGTTTTCTCAATTTTAAGATTTTGCACTTTTTCGATA